TAGTACATTTGACTACAGGGCATATACACAACTCATACACAAAAACGGCACTCATGTATAATGTGACCAACCGTACTTCTTTCGGAAGTACAGTACTTATTTTTTCGCTCTTGCACTTCGTACTTCGAAGTACAGTCAAATGTATTTGTTTGCAATATTTTGTACTTCAGGAGGGAGATTCTGTAACCAGTTAGCGACAATTTTCGGATCGCTAACGCACTTTTTGACGCATGATATAAATGTTTTTGCGTCAAAAAGTGTGATAGCATTTCGAAAATCGTCGCTAACTGGTTATAGAATCTCTCCCCAGGTCCTGTACTTCTCCGATCTTCTGGACGATCGTCACATGGCCTAGGCGATAAATTCGTTCAAACCATTAAAGTCGCCGGAGACCGACCTACGTAGCTAAAAAGGGCTCTGATGGTGTCGTGTAATTGTTTGGATCCTATTTGTAAGAACTGCGTGATNATGGCCTAGGCGATAAATTCGTTCAAACCATTAAAGTCGCCGGAGACCGATGGCATCATACCTACGTAGCTGAAAAGGGCTCTGAAGGTGTCGTGTAATTGTTTGGATCCTATTTGTACGAACTGCGTGAGAATCGGGTACATCGAAAGGCTTGGAGGGTAGTCAGTGGTGCGTTCATCTCAAAGGCAGAAAAAGTCTCTCATGTTTCTTTCACCTAGGGGTTTTAGGCCTATCAGTAAAGTATTGGTAAAGTGGTCAGAGGAAGCCTTTACGCATGAAAATTATGCAGTAGGGGCCTTCTTCGATATCGAGAGGGCCTTCAACAATGCTACTTCAGAGGCAATAGTCAAGTACATTCATAATATGGGAATGAAACCAACCTAATAAGGCTTATCTACAGCTTACTTCGTGACAGAGCTATCACGGCGGAGTGAGGGAGCGTCTGCACTCAGTGCAGAGTCAATAGGAGCACTCCACAAGGTGGTGTTCTCTCTCCTCTGCTCTGAATTGCAGTTAAAAACGACCTTCTATAGGAACCGGAAAAAGAGGGCTGTCGGATGATCGCCTATGTAGATGATGTGGAACTTTTGGTTGAGGGCCGATTTCTATACAACCTTTTTGATCTGGCTTAAGGTTACATGAACCAGGTAACTAAGTGGGCGATCAACGGTGGCTGTCATGGAAACCTAACATTGGGGAAAGGTGTCGGTGTCCTTGTACTGCTGTAGGGGAGCTATCGGTAAAAGGTGGGGTCTCTCGCCCAAATTAATTCATTAGCTCTAGGGTACCAGATTTAAGCCTATATTGTTCTAAGGAGCCCTTGTGGTGGAGCTCACTAGAGAAGGCTGCGCTTGTAATTAGCGGAGCATTAGGAACCACATCTACACTGANTTTTGATCTGGCTTAAGGTTACATGAACCAGGTAACTAAGTGGGCGATCAACAGTGGCTGTCATGGAAACCTAACATTGGGGAAAGGTGTCGGTTNGCAATAGTCAAGTACATTCATAATATGGGAATGAAACCAACCTAATAAGGCTTATCTACAGCTTACTTCGTGACAGAGCTATCACGGCGGAGTGAGGGAGCGTCTGCACTCAGTGCAGAGTCAATAGGAGCACTCCACAAGGTGGTGTTCTCTCTCCTCTGCTCTGAATTGCAGTTAAAAACGACCTTCTATAGGAACCGGAAAAAGAGGGCTGTCGGATGATCGCCTATGTAGATGATGTGGAACTTTTGGTTGAGGGCCGATTTCTATACAACCTTTTTGATCTGGCTTAAGGTTACATGAACCAGGTAACTAAGTGGGCGATCAACGGTGGCTGTCATGGAAACCTAACATTGGNAGAGGAAGCCTTTACGCATGAAAATTATGCAGTAGGGGCCTTCTTCGATATCGAGAGGGCCTTCAACAATGCTACTTCAGAGGCAGTAGTCAAGTACATTCATAATATGGGAATGAAACCAACCTAATAAGGCTTATCTACAGCTTACTTCGTGACAGAGCTATCACGGCGGAGTGAGGGAGCGTCTGCACTCAGTGCAGAGTCAATAGGAGCACTCCACAAGGTGGTGTTCTCTCTCCTCTGCTCTGAATTGCAGTTAAAAACGACCTTCTATAGGAACCGGAAAAAGAGGGCTGTCGGATGATCGCCTATGTAGATGATGTGGAACTTTTGGTTGAGGGCCGATTTCTATACAACCTTTTTGATCTGGCTTAAGGTTACATGAACCAGGTAACTAAGTGGGCGATCAACAGTGGCTGTCATGGAAACCTAACATTGGGGAAAGGTGTCGGTTTCCTTGTACTGCTGTAGGGGAGCTATCGGTAAAAGGTGGGGTCTCTCGCCCAAATTAATTCATTAGCTCTAGGGTACCTGATTTAAGCCTATATTGTTCTAAGGAGCCCTTGTGGTGGAGCTCACTAGAGAAGGCTGCACTTGTAATTAGCGGAGCATTAGGAACCACATCTACACTGACGCTTAACATACATATGTTGAACATGGCGCCTGTGGATATTGCAGACAGAATTGTCGCAGCACGAACTGCTATTCGGCTAAGGAAAACTGGGGCCTTTTGTGACATAAAAGATGGAAAAGAAGACATTTTTCTGCTGCAACAAATGTTTTTATAGGGCATTTTAAAGCACATAACCTCTCAAGGGCTTGTGATGAAGGTTCTGACAGGCCATTGTGCGACTGGTATTTGATNTCGCAGCACGAACTGCTATTCGGCTAAGGAAAACTGGGGCCTTTTGTGACATAAAAGATGGAAAAGAAGACATTTTTCTGCTGCAACAAATGTTTTTATAGGGCATTTTAAAGCACATTACCTCTCAAGGGCTTGTGATGAAGGTTCTGACAGGCCGTTGTGCGACTGGTATTTGAAGCGGTGAGATTAGGAATTTCGACTTATCCGTTTGTATCAGCTGTCAAGAGGAAGATGAAGTGGAATCATATCCACACTTTCTTTTGGACAGTCCAACCTTCGCGAGGCTCAGGGATCGAAATTAGCCGCATTCGAAATTTNATCGAAATTAGCCGCATTCGAAATTTCGTAATCGGCTCGCGGCGTTACTTAACCCAACCTAAGCTGTACTTCTTTGAGCTATGAAATAGTTGGCCACATTACTCATGTACACAATACATACCAGGGATGTTGTGAATATTTGCACTCACATTCCTTATGCGAATGATTCGCATTATTTTACACGCATACGACATACGAGAAGCTAGCAAGTAATTTTTAGCAAAAAAAAAACCGACTTAAAAAAAATATATATATATCTATATATTTCATGATCCAATGATCGGATCTAAACCAATTTAGTATGGGACCACCTCTGAGACACTACCTTTCCGTTGCAAAAATTATTGAAATCGGTTGACGTTGTGCAAAGTTATGCGGTAACATACATAAAAAAAAAATATTCCGACGAACTGATAACCTGCCTCCATTTTTGGAAGTCGGTTAAACAAAGATAGCTATGTAAAAGCACTGTTTCAAAACTCGCTATATTAAGTTTTTATATATAAAATTTCCACAAACTGCCCCACTGCGATATTGTTTTTTAATGTTATTCGGCTCTTGTTTATCCAAATTTTCAGATAATACAGAGAAATATACAATTTGGGTGTTACTTGTTACGCTATTTGTGCAATATTAAAAAAAATTCAACAAACTTTCGTACAATTTTCGAACTTTTAAAAATTCTAAAAAATCAATCGACATTTTTAGCGATTTAAAACGTGTACTTTATTCTAGTAGAATTCAATGGGCTACAAAACTGCATACTCAGAATTTAATTAAAAAACTCGAAATTTTCAAGAAAATTTGTAGAATTTTTTTCTTAATTGCATAAATTTTTAAGGCAGTGTCACTCGATTGGTATATGTACAGATTTGTAAATTTTTATATTAGGCTATTGGTAAAAAAATGGGACAATTTTTTTTTTGTAGTTAAAAGATTGGTACAATACAGCGATGTTCTATTGAAAAATTTCAATGAATTAATTTTCGTGATTGGGATAGTTGAAACAATTGGAATACGATTTACACAAAATTTTGGCAAATACCCAATCGTGTGATACTGCCTTTAAACTTGTATTTATACGGATGTTGGTAAAGAACGAACTACAAAAAACTAACCGAAATTAAATAACAACAAAAATTATATTTTAAAACTTGTCAAAATTTGGTGCGGCAATAATTTTCTCGACTACTGTAGCACTACTGTGCCACTCATATTTGACCTATTCAACCCTGTCATTATGCATTTTTTTAATCAGTATTTTTTTTTTATCAAAATATGTTGAAATAAAAGTGAAACTAAAAAAATGTTTGCCATCAAATGAACAGCTGTCAGATGAAGGCAGTTTTTGATGTCAGTGATTTCGACCTAATGAAAACCAGCCTTTACTATCGTAATTTTTGGTTTTTCTCTACCGATACCACCTTGTTTGAAGTCGCCGTGGGCAGTAGTTTGCAGAAATTATTTTACTAAAAATGTTTCTTTTTCTTGTGGGTAATTTACGTGGAATTTGAACATTTTTATTTAGATTTCTTTCTGGGTAATTAAACGAATTGAAAACGGCAACGCTGGTTCACATTTTGGGGTGTTTATATTTTACGGTGTTCACATTATCGCGCGTGCACTGTATGCCCGTTCCATTATTTCTTGAGGAAAGAGTAAGGCAACAAGCTGTGAAGTATCAGATGTCAAAAATCCCTTGACACACACACGAAATAATTGCAATTTTTTATTTGAGAGCTGCATACTGGCCTTTAGCCGTAATTAGTTTTGGCCAGAAAAATAGGCATTTATACCATAGTGCATATTTAAAATCAGCCTTAACAACAATCACCAATTCCAAAATATAAAACGTCCTGAAATTAATGGGCACTTTGCATTAACTACGAATGAGTTATTCAAACCTGCCAATAGGCGTTGAAATCATGTGTATAGCCTTTAATTAGGTAATTTTTATTTTATTTTTTATGTTACGTTAATAAAGTTTTATTTATGTACTTACAGATATGTACTCAACACATACCTCTTCAAATTACTCACCATCAGTGTCAGACGGCACCTTAACGCCAAATTCATTACAACAGCAAGAACATGGCATGCCATATCCTTCACATATCCAAGCCTCGAAATATTATCAGCAACAACATAATGAGGGAGATGCGAAGCAAAGTCAAATTTTAAAGAACACAGTGCATGGTAGCAAAGTTGGAAGTATTGAAGATAACGAGGAGGCTGCTAATGGAGATGTTAAAACATCAGGAAGAAATTCAGCAGAGCGGATACAATCAGAGAAGCTAGAAGGCAATGCCAATTTGGAGTTGCAACACAAGCGACACACCCGCCTTCATCGCCAACACGTTTACCTCCATGCAGAGTATCACAGCTCTAAGATAGTTACAAAACTGCGAAAAATTGAAAGAGTCGCTGCAAAGTTTGACAAGTTGACAAGCGATGGCATTAAGGGCACCAACGTTGATGGCTCTTATCAGTGTCAGTTCTGTGATAAATCATTTCCTCGACTTGGTTATTTAAAAAAACACGAGCAGGTGAGACAATAAAGAATGCTTTTTAAAATCTACATACTAATAAGCTAACATAAATTTTGTCTCCGTTCGTTTGGCGATTCTACCAAACTGATTTAAAAACCAAGAAAACCATTGGAAAAGTAATTTTCTGTAGATGAGAAGAGTTTTTCTGGTTTCAAAATTTATTGAAAAATACGGTCCGTATTTGTGTGTGGTTGTTGTTGCAACCTGGTCAATTTGAGCTTTTTTCCCACTTTGTTTTACTTTGTATTTAAAAAAGAAAACTTTGTAATAAATGTGATCATGAAGAAATAAATGATAACGATTAAGACATAAAAGTGAAGACAAAATTGGAGATCATCGAGTTATCCATGCTTGGTGAGTTATCGTAACGTAGCGAATTATTCAAATTGATCAATCTCTTATGGAGTTAATAGACACAAACTTTGTTGTAGAAATTTACGGATAGTTATCGAGCTACACAAATTTATGGGATTATCGAAATTCGCCAAGTTAATGAAATTTATCAAGTTATCGATATTTATTGAATTATCCTTATTTATAGAGTTAACGAAATTTATCAAACTATCTTAATGCACCGAGTACTTTGAACTTACGAGATATCGGTATTTATTGATATACCAATTTAACAAAACGTAGTTTTTGGAATTTTCAAAATATGTCAGGTTATCGACATTTCAAGGTCATATAAGTTTATCGAATAATCACTGTTTATCGAATTTTATCGTTTTACCAGAGAGCATGGGCGTAGCCAGAACGAAATTTAGGGGGGAAGGGGGCAATTAAAAAAAAAAATTTCAAAACCAAAAACTTACTAACTAAAAATTTTTTTATTAAAGCTTAAAATTATTGTAACCAATACAGGTAAATATGTTGTACAAAAACACATATACGGAAGTTCACAAAAGTTGATTCGTCGATTTAAATAGTTAAATTTTTACTGCGCATGTTTATTTTACGAGGAGGAATAATCGAAAGCCTAAAGCTGGTGCCAGATAAAACTTTGTAGCTTTGCGTGACATTTATAACTTTGCCACCAAAGCGCCAGACGCAAAAAGTATGCCACAATGAATTTTGTACTGCTTTTTTACTCGTCAAAATTGTTTAAGTAAGTTTTATGTTTCTGCATGAAAACTCGAATTTGGACGAAACAAAATAAATACTAAACCGGCTGATTGTCAAAGCGCACAAAAAGATGGGCGTTAGCCAACTTTTCGCTACGCGCTGCAGCTTCAACGATCTATGAGGCACGCCTTGTGCATTTTCATACAATTCATCTTATCTGTCAAAGCGAATCTGTCACGTAAAGCGAAGCAAAAGTTTTATATGGCATCAGCTTAATCCCGTCAGTGTGAGACTTTAACCCAAATTAAACTTCCTACCGTCATGTACCGTTCAGCTTCCGGTACCACCGTCAAGGATTTCGTCGGGATTATAACACTATGTGACTGATAAGGTTATAGATCTATTCTCTTCTTCTTCTTCTTATTTGGTGTTGTAACCGCCAAAGCGATTTTGGCCGCGTTCAGCAAAGATCGCCAGTCGTTTCTCTTCTGTGCCAACTGACGCCAATTAGAAATGCCAAATGAAGCCAGAATACTTTCAGAGCTGGAGCGTCGCTGTCCATTCGAATGGCATGGCCAAGCCAGCGGAGCCACTCTATTTTAATTCGCGGCACTATGTCCATGTCGCTGTAAAGCTAATACAGCTCATCGTTCCATCGTCTGCGGTACTCGCCGTCGCCAACGCGTAAAGGCCCGTAAATCTTCCGCAAAATCTTTCTCTCGAACAACCACAGAGCCACCTCCTCGGATGTTGCCATTGTGCATGCTTCTGCGCCATAAACCAGCATGGGCATGATGACTGACTTAAAGAGTGTGGTTTTCGTACGCCGTTAGAGGGCTTTACTCCTGAATTGCCTACTCAGTCCAAAGTAGTTCTTGTTGGCAAAAGTGATTCTGCGTTGGATTTCAATGCTGACATTATTATCGGTATTTATGCTGTTTCCCAAGTAAACGAAATTCTCTACTCTTTCGAAATTATAACTGTACAGTGACGTGGGTGCCAAGGCGCGAATGTGCCCATTGTTTGTTTGATGACAGGAGATACTTCGTCCTGTTCCTCGTTTACCACCACACCCATTCGCTTTGCTTCCTTGTCCAACTTGGAAAAGGCAGAACAGACTTAAGTAAATTGTTCCTGAGCGGTTCAGTTCTGCAGCTCTTATTATCTTCTCCAACATCAGATTAAAGAAGTCACATGAAACGGAGTCGCCCTGTCTGAAACCCCGTTTGGTGGCGAACGGCTCGGAGAGGTCTTTCCCAATTCTAGCAGAGCTGGTGGTATTACTCAACGTCATTCTACACAGCCGTATGAGTTTTGAGGGGACGCCAAATTCAGACATAGCGGCGTATAGGCAACTCCTTTTACTGGCTAACCAGAATGTAGTACCACAGCCGCAAGCTATTTCGCTAGCTACATCAGTAATAATACACCACAGCTACAGGTACATATTGTGGGCAGTTCAGAGCATTTAGAATACTTTAACTTTTGACAGCTCTTGCTACATACCACAGCCTCACCCTTCTGGTTAGCCAATTAGTGCTATCGAAAGCGGCTTTAAAGTCGACAAATGGCTGGTGAGTGTCGATCCCTTTCTCTCGAGTCCTTTCCAAGATTTGGCATATTGTGAATACCTGGTCTATGGTGGATTTGCCAGGTCTAAAGTCACACTGATAAGGTCCAATCAGTTCATTGACGATGGTATTCAGTCTTTCACACAATACATTCGATAAGACTTTGTAACCTATGCTTAGAAGGCTGATCCCGCGGTAGTTGGCACGCATGGCGGGGTCGCCTTTCTTGTGGATTGGACAGAGCGCACTTGAATTCCAGTAGTCGGGCATGCACGTTACTAGCTCCTTGACATCTTAATTGAATAGCTCAGCTGACAGGCCATCAGCTTAATCAGCTTTGTTACTTTTCAGCAGCATAATCGCTATTCGTACCTCGTCATAGTCAGGCGCCGGTCGATCAGCCTCAGCACGCCGTTTCTATGCGGAGGCTGAATTTTCCGACACTGGTGCCAAAGATCCCTTCGTTGCCCACCTTGGAATTTAAATCACCAAGCACGATCTTTATACCTGTCGGGGGCAGCGCTAATATGTACGCTCTAAGCTAAGAGATCCTTGGATGCCTCGTCCTTCTCTTCTATCGGGGCATTGGCACATATGAGCGAGATGTTGAAGAACTCGCTTTGTTGCGGATTGTGGCTAGACGTTCGTCCACTAGAGTGAACGCCGGTCTCTCTCCCACCACAAATCCAACATCGACTTGCGCTCCTTTACGTGGAATCTGTAGTAGACGTCGCAAGGCTGCACGCTTACCTTCCTCGCTCCGTCGTTTCGGATATTACAGGTGCATACACTCAAATCATAGTCCTTCCTATGTTTGGCGTGGTCGTCATAAAAAGGGGGTATAATCCGAGGCATGTATTTTTTTTTGCATTGGGCAGGGTTTTAACATGGCGGGACCCAAACCCAGCGCACGGGGTGTTAAGCTATCCCACTTTAGCTCACTCCCAAACTAGTGTTCGGTCGCTACCCAGAGGATTCATGGATCTAAATATCCGGAAGTTGTGAGCTGAGATTTTAACCGTATGCACACGAA